AATTTTCTTGGGGGCAGATACTGGATGTTGTCATCACTTCAAATAAAGATGTCTTCCCAAGGAATGTATCTCAGTGCTTTTCACTAAAATCCTGTGGTTTACAGTGCAAAGACTATTTGGGGGTGAATCATTCCCTCTCTGTTTTCCAAGGGAAGTGCCTAACGTGGGCCAGCCCTTTCTCCAAGGCCTGAGCAGACAGACCACTGTGGATCTTCCACCTGAGCTGTAGGCAGCAGTGAACCAGTTGTGTGGGTTGCACGGGCGAGCCCCAGAAGCCAAACCTGCTGTGGCTCAGCAGGCTGCCCTCCCCAGCCCCTCAAACCCTGCTGGAAGTTCCTGCTGAGCAGTGCTGAGAGCAGCCCGGCCATCTCCCCTCCCACCCTTCCAGCTGAGTTTTAGCCTGAAGCTCTAAAGCAGGAGAGTGGGACGGGGCTCTCAAACACCAAGGCAAATATGACTTGAAACAAGCACTTCTTGCCAAGCTCCTCAGCAAGCTTTCCACAGTCTTGGCGGGATAATCAGACTGAAATTTACACTGACTGCTGAATCAGACTGTGGTTGGTAAGCAATGAACAACACAAGTTTGGGTTTTGTTCTAATTCTAACTTACATGGGAGAATGTAACATTCACTACCATCTGTGGTGAATAGTTTTGAAGGGGTCAGAGAATTAAGTATGTACACTAAGCATTTATTAGAGTACATGGTGGAGGGAATAGGAGCAACATGAAGACACACACTCCTCCCACTCTGCTCCCATCTACGTGACAGAAGTGTCAGTTTATCCAAAACTCTCTAGTGGCCTTAACCATTTTCAGAAAAAAACCAATTGTGACTCCCGTAACTTCTGCAATACTTCAAGGACTGTGCTGATGTTTACAATGACAACTGTATACAAAATAAAATAACTACTTAAAAGTCACAAACAAACTGTTCAAAACCAGACTGAACTCAAATTACGTATTTACATCCAGTTAGTTGAGTGGCATTTAAATTAACATATGGAATAGGATGGTCTGATTCCAAGAACAAATGTAGAACTCTCAGGACACTGAACACAGCCCAGCAATGTTACACCGGTAACTGAGCAGTGCAGTCAGCACTTCAGGGGCAGGAGAAACCGGTACTTAGAAGCATTTGACTTCATGACTGCTTCTCCTTTCCACAGCAAGAACAGAATAAAAAATACAGTATGAAAATATTAATTTGCTACTAACTACTAGGATAAAGTGCTTTTTTGAATTAGTGAATGGTGATGGTGTGGCAGCAGAAAATCTTCCCAGAATGGACTGCCAACACATTTGAAGGAAGGAGAGAATGACTAAAAATTGCTGGCTAGAGAGAAAAAAAAAGTTCTAAAAACTCTGTCAGTATCATTTATTGAAGCCAAAACCTGCCCATTATGTTCAATTATGTCATTTAATATAAAAAATTAAACATGTATAAAAGTAAGACACAAAACATGTTATCACAAGCATTCTAAGTCAGCATTTTTAGGCAGTCTGACACAGCTGCTGCATACCCTGACACACCAGATTACCAAAAAAAAAAAAAAAGCAGCCTACATGCAGACCTTCCTATCTGTCACAGAAGGCAACAGCAATGTACAATCTGTAGAACGCAATGTGCTTGCATTAATAATATTTATTTATTTCACAGGCATTAGAGCTAAATTATAATTTACTAAGTCAAGGCAAAAATGACAGAGAAAGATTTGTAATTGCACTGAATTATTCAGAGAAAAATTAAAACATTAAAAGTAAATGGAGACTGAAACAGAACTAGGGACTATTCAATGACAGACGTGAAGGCAAGGTCTGGGTTTAGAATTGTGCCATGCTTTAGTCACTTTGCACAAAACCAGTGAACATTTTGTAAAATTACACTGCATCAAACCTCGGAGAGAAATGCTGTGGAACGAAGTGAGAACGAGCAGCATTTCCAGCTGCCATTGAAAACGAGCTCAATAAGTGCCTCTCAATTCCACTGCTCATCAGCAGTGATGACTGCATACAGTCACACCATAACAAGAAAGACAGGAAGTAGAATACCTAAAGAAAATTGCAATGAAAGATAAAACAGATTTTCAAATTGCATATAGGAGATCACTACATCTCTAAGTATCCAAGCAGAAACAATAGTAAATGATACAAGAATTAGGCTATGCTTAAGGCTTTTGACATTAGTTTTAGAAACGGAGGCAATATAAAAAAAGAAGTTTTGACATGGCCCAGATTTCTCTACTGTGTTAAATCATTATGTTACTCATAAGACACGACATGAATAAGAAAATATGTTAACATGAAAGAGTATGGTCAAATATACTGACGCTGCACAACGAGTGGGTGTGTTTAGCTTGTGCTGAGCAGTATTAATTATCACTCAATCTTTAACATTTCCCCTTAACATGAAGCGAAATGCGTGAGAACAAATCCAGAAATTAGCCATCTAATCCAAGTAATGAAAGTATTTCACGACCACTGGTTTAGGACTGTGGTTTATGCAAGGAACCACAGCAGAAAACTTAAATTAGGGCGTGAAAACTATCACAGGAACTTGCAGGTAAAGTATCCAAGTGCATTCCAGGCAGGAAACACCACCATGGTCCTTGAGAAAAGCCCTGCCGACTTCTTTTGTTTTTACACATGCCTCGGAGAACATGGCCTTACCCCGCTATCTTATCGCACCTGCAAGAAGGCTTGACCTCCTCACCGCCCCACAAGCACCCACGTGGATATCAGCTTCCCCAAAAAGAAGGGAAAATACGGCCTTCTCCCCCACCCCGAGGAGGAAGCTCCCCGTTTTCTCAGGAGCAAAATGCCGGCGTTCCCTTCCCAGAGCCATGCCACCGCCAGCAGGCGAGGATTCCCGCGCTGCATCCACAGGGAAGCCATTCCCGCGGCCGGGAGCAGCAGCAGGGACGGCGCTCCCTGACCCGGGGAGCTGGCGCAAAACCCGAGGCGCCGGGCATGACGTACCGCGTGTGCAGGCAGCGCCGGCCCGGGCCGTGCCCACGCCGGCAGCGAGCCCCGATCCCCGAGAGCCTCCGGTCCTGAGGCCCCGGCGGGGCGCGGTCGAGCCGACCCCTCTCCCACGGTGGATCGGGCGAGGCCGCCGCCCAGGCCGAGCTCAGCGGCGGCGGCCGGGCCGGCAGCACGGTGTAAGGAGGGGGGCCCGCTCCCTACCGCCTCCATTCCCGTGAGGGAAGGTGGGAATCGCCCCTCGGCGTTACTTACCGGGAGCTGTGAGGGGAGGGGTGCGGCGGGGCCGGGGGGAGCAGGGGTGGGAGCGCGCGCGGCGCCCTCGCGCCGCGGCGGGGGAACGGCGTCCGGTGATCCCGCGCGCGCAACGTGCTCGCGCCGCCGCCGCCGCCACCCGGCCAAGATGGCCGTCGGGCCCAGAGGGCGGGGCCTGAGCCAGCGCCACGGAGAGGAGGGAAGGAAAGGAAGGGCGGCCCTCGCCAGGGACAGCAAGAGAGGAAAGGGCGGCCCTCCTCACCATGGAGACCTAGAGCGCGGCGGTGAAGAGGGAGCGCAGCCTCCCGGGGCGGGCCGGGGAGCCCGAGCTCGCCGAGCCCGCCCCGCGATCGGTGGCCCCGCTCTGAGGGGAGCCCCTCAGGACGGAAAGGTCTCGCTGGCCTCTGCCTCCCCTGGGTAGGTGGTGGCGGGCAGCAGCAACAGCTAGACCGGGTGCTTCTCTTGCCAAGGAAAGGTGTTGCCATTCCCTTTCGTGACCGCGGTTTCGGCGTGAGGAACCGAGCTCCAATATCGGATACGCCCGGGGATTGATACAACGCGAAAGGTACCAAGATAGAATGGTCTTGCTAGCCTTTACCTGCCCTGGGCAGCGTGTCTTCTGCACCTGGAACACTGGGGCTACGTGCTTTCATTCCCATCGGGAACAACTGTCATTCTCTTTCGGGAGCCCATCACCTCACTAAGGATACCGTCCTCAATAATGATTATGCCCACGGATTGGTGCCACGACACCAAAGTCTTGCTGGCCTTTACCTGCCCTGGGCAGCGTGTCATCTGCATCTGACACACTGGGACTATGTACTTTCCTTCCCGCGAGGAAGCACTTCCAGGAGCTCACTTCGGGAGCTCGGGTTCCATACCCAGCCCCGAGCACCTACCGGAGCCGCTCCCGCTCCCATCCCGGAGGAGCCGGGACGTTCCCGCCGGCCCCGCCCATGGCGCCGTGTGAGGGGCGGCCCCGGCGCCTGAGGGGAAGCGGGCGGGGCGGCGCGCGCGCACTGCGGCCCCTCCGCGGCGGCAGCGGCGGCGGCTGTTCCCGGCGGGATCAGGTGGGAAAAGTGGGAGCTGCGGCTCTACCGGGGCCATGAGGGGAGGAAAAGGAGGAAGATTCGGCCCGGGTAGAAGCTCGGCTGGCTGAGGCGACGTGTTCGCCCCGGGTGTGGGGGCTGCCCAGCCGGGTGCCTCCCGCCGTGAGTGCGGGGCTCTCGCGTCACCCCCGCGGCCGGAGAGCGGAGCCCGGGCTGGGGATCGATCCGGCGGGGCCCGTGCCGTGAGTAGGTGCTGCTGCTGCTGGCGCTTTATTTCCGATACTAAAGCGGTTTGTAGGCCTGGGGGATACGGCCGCAATATACTGTTGTGAACCTGGTTAATTTTCATTGTATTTATTTATAATTGTTATGATTATAGTTAATATAATTAGTATTGATTGAAAGCCCTACGAACAAGTCGTGTGGGGACGGCTACCAGTTAGTTTTTCAAAGCAGCTTCAGCCTCTGGTTGCTCTTGATTTTCACGACAGCTTCCACCTCATATTTGCACTTAACGCTCCTTGTAAAGATGTGCTTGCCTCCTTTAAGGAACAGTTTGTAGCTTTACCAGGTAACTTGGGAAAGTCTGGGCTTTCGCAAAAATATATTTTAAGAAAAGTATTTGTTTAGATTGATTAGGAGTATATTTATAAAATAATTATTTTAATTATCTTAATTATCTTTATTTTTAATGAAATATATTTTTGACTATGAAAGACTAGTATTTTTCACTAATAGGCTTAAAGCAATGCACTGGAGGCAGGATAAAAATAATAAGTTTATTAAAGTTGTATTGAGAGAATAATCTGAGGGATGAAATGTACAGGTGAGTTAGTTGAAATAGGGTGCTGCTGAACACTATCATTATTAAATATTAATTAAGCATTAGTAATTTGGATGTTTAATATTCCATCTGACTAAAAAAATAGGAAGCATAGTGAGAGACTGGTTTTCAGATATATCTTGAGATCTTTAAAGGCCTTAGACAAGTAAGGGTCTAGCCAAAGAAAATGAGAGCAGGGACAAGAGCTTGTAAATAGTAAGAGTAAAATGAGTAGTGAAGTTAAGAAAGTCAGGGAATCTTAGGTATGAAATTCCCTTCTGTTAAGAACAGGAAAAACAGTCTTATGGATGTTGCAAAACTGATGAAGTAGTCAGTGCAGCCTTTGTTCAGTTTTCCTTGAAAGGCTGTAGTCAGATATTTGCTAAAACTGAATATATTACTGGAATGCAATCAGAGTAATACTTCTTAAAAAATAATAAAAGAGAGAAAAGTCAGATGATCTCTGATCTCCTGAAGGATTCTGAGGAGGTGGTTTGGAAATGGAATTTGTCAGTAAGTAGAGGACAATTACAAAATCAGTGTGCACACAGGAACTATTCTAGTGTGATTTGTTGAGAGTAGTCTGGATCAAACTTTTTTTTACAGTAGCCAATGCACTTAATAAGGAGGGAATATGAGGAGTCTGTCTTGAGTTTTACAGGATTTCTGCCATTGTTCAAGCTACTGAAGTGTGCTCTAAAAATAATTTGTTTTAAATAACTTTTTTTAAGAACTTTTGAATCTGACTTACAAATTCCTCACTTTTAAACAGGAGTGTCATGAAACGTGCTCCTGGAGAGTTCAGTTTTGGGTGTATTTTCACTGTTCCTGTAATGTGGAAGACAAAATTGGAAGGACTGCAAGCACTGTACAGCTAAGGGTTGGAATTAAAAACCTTCTTGAGAAGCTTGGTAGCAGGCTGGAAATCAGTGTAACTAAGCTCAGTTAACAGGAACTGAGGGAGGAAGAGAACACAGGAATAAAAATCAAAGGCCTGGTTAGTGGAAAAAGTGTCAGTGAACAGCAGTGAACCTAAAAAATACTGGGCATTTATACTGCATTTGAGTACTGTAGTGCATAGTAAAACCAATATTAATTAAAAATTATGTTCTTTCAACTAGCCAGGTGTTGCTTTGTCACATTAACAAGTGTGAGTAAATATAAAGACAAGGGAAGTGATTACTCTGCTGAAAAAGGGCCTTAGCTAAAATTGTCTTTTTTTTTGAAACAATGGTGCTGAATACCTAGACTCTGCAAGAATATTAAGTTTATTAAACTTCATGAGGGGAGCTTGAAAGGCATAGACACTCTAGAAAATAAGAAACTAAGAGCAAGTTTGACGAGTTCCCTCACATCAATAGAAGGGTTGTTATGTAAAGGCCAGTGATTATCTAGTCTTTGAGTTCTCTGTTGATCAAGAGATGCTTGTTTTTAGAAGGTGATACTTGATTTGGATGCTAAAGAAAAACTTTTAGGTTGATGAAATCTGAAGCTGGGTGTCCACAAATTTCTTGCTGGAGAAGTAAATGTCTGGACAGACATCTCTCAGGCACAGTCAGGTCTCTCAAGGGCCCTTACAGGTGTGTATTTAAACAGTTCTGTGAATACAGAACGTGGTGGAATTACAAGTTTTTATAGGGGAAAAACTGCTTTTGAATCTGCAGGTTTCTTTGAGCCTGGATTTTTATGGAGCTTTAGTAGGAAAGGGCCATGATGTATCCCTTCAGTATCTCCTCTTGGGTGTGTTGTGTGCTTTCACAAGGATTTGCTTCCAAATGTGCACCTTTTCAAGGTGTTTCCTGCTGGTACCCTGAGAACAACCTGACTGGTTTGAGTGGGGAAGGCAAACTGTCCAGCCATTTAAATCCATTTCACTCTTTTCATAAACTGTGCTTGCTAAAACAACTTCAATTGGCTGTTACTTCACAGGGCTGGGATGTTTTTTGGAAAAGAGAGAACTTCTCTGAGGAAGATGAGGAATAAAGAGTTCGGGGAGTAGGGAAAAGCTGCTACTTTGCCTTGATCGAAGGATGTGCAAACCACAGAGTGGACAATGGCAAAATGAAAGTGTAGCCTTGATCATGTAATTAAGATATTCATATATTCATGCTGTTAATAAGGAAACAGCAGCCTGTTAATGATCTTTTGGAATAATTGAATTGGAAAATCAGAGATGTTTCCAGCCAATGCTTCTAAAAATGCAGTGTGTCTTTCCATTTTTCAGCACATGTCGAGGAGGAGGCCTTCTAAAAATTACTTGTTTTACACAGCCTGAAAAAGCAAAGAAAATTTTTATTAGGTGATTTAAATTCCTTTTAGAGCTAAGTATTGATGTCTCATTTAAAATGAGGTACTTTTACTTCTGCTAGTAAAATGTACAGAAGTGTTACTTGAATGAGCTGGCCTCTTGCTGCCATTATTTTTCCTTAGTACTTCTATCAGCTTTCAGGTTTTAAAGTTCTTAGAGTATTGAGGAGCTTCAGCAAAGCTATCCAGAATGTATTATTCTTGAGCAGGAGTTCTGTCATGAAAATCTGGCTCATTTAGTTCAACCATTGAAAATTTTCAGTCTTTGTCATCACTAGTACACAATATGTGGCTGATTTATTTGCCAGCAGTGGTTTGGAGTTGAAATTTTGGGGTTTGAGAAGTTTTTCCTGTTAGATAGAAAGAAGTAAGCTCCGTTTAAAGCAGTAGGAAACTTGAATGGTGTTTCTTGTTGTATATTTCAGACCCCCAAAATGTAATGCCTCCAACTTTTCAGAACCAGTGCAATACAAGTCTTACATTATTAAGTTAGTTAGAACTTTGCAGTGTATACTGAAGCTTATAAGAAATCTCAATATTGTTACCTTAAGGGGTTCTGCATACTTTGAAAATACCAGTAATTTTTTTCTAAAAGCATGTGTAATCAACTTTGTGTTGTAATCTGAGTGAACAATGTAATTTCTGTGATTTACCTTATTTTGGTGGGTTTTGATGGGATGTTTGCATAGTCCTCGTGTCTTAAGGGTGGGATTTGGGGTTTTTCATTCATTTTTTCTTGAAGTCAAAAGTGTGTCAAGACTGGCTGGTGATAATACTGAAAAGATGTTTTCTATGATGTTTTTGAGATGTGACCACTTGAATTGCAAATGAACAATTTAGCTTTACTTTGCGAGGTTGAATTTTCTATGTATATTTTTTGAGGTCAGAAGAACAGTATTTTTGGTGTCTGTGTAAATCTGAGAATTAAAATGAATGCAACTCAACCTTTCTTAGTTCACTGTCACAAAGTCAAAAAAACCCCTGCAGTTTGGATTAGAAGGTCATTTGAGCTTTAAAATTCACAAGTCCAGAATAATAGTCTCCCCAATGCTTAATAAAAATAGTTTGAATTTTGATGTAGCATGGAGGTTGGACTAGATGATTTTTGAATGTCCCTTCCACCACTCCAAACCATTCAGTGATTCTGTGAAAAATGTTTGTTTTTCAGGTAGCTGTGAACTAAATGCTTTGTAATTTTTTTCCAAGGTTTTTTTATTTAGATGGCTATAGGATTTACATGTCTGTAAATATGTATATGACATCTGTAGGATTAGCTGTGTAGTGTCCAACTTCTCTTCTGAGAGGATGGTATTTGAACCAGGATTTTGTCTGAAGCATTTTGTGCCACTTGCTGTTGTCAGTATTTAAATTTTTCTACACATGCAATTATTTCATCAGATTTTTGTTTATGGTAGTTAAGACTGTAGTCTTGTATATGAGAAAGTAGGTAAAATATCTGTCTCAAGTCTTATGCTTGCAAAATTAAAGAAAGTGCTCAAGGGCCAATAGCAAACGTTTGCACTACAGAATTCAGATTTCCTGTGACCCACAAAGAATTTTTAGCTGCAGAGTCATTGGTACACAGAAAATGTTGTCTCTGCCTGGAGTCAGTTCTGTAGTGGGTAAGGCCTGGGTCCTGTGGGTCCCAGCCTAACTCAGTCCCTTATTTTCTGTCGGGGAGAGGCACTGGAAGACTTTTTCTGAGATTAGCAGAGCATGACATGATGTCATGCATGCAAACAAAGGATGAGAGGTCACCTCTAATTCCCTGACTCTTTAGTGCCCTATGTTTTATTTTAAGCTTTAATGTAGTTCTTTTCGTGGAACTTACATATCTTTGATTTTTTTTTTTTTTTTTAATGTTTTAAGCAACTTCCTAGGAAACAGTAAAGTGCTTTGTACTGTACAAAATCCAACTTAATTAAGTTGTTGTACACATGGCCATAATCTGGGTGTTGAGACTGAGTGTGATTACTTGAATGCAAGTCACAAGTTAATTATTGCAGATGATGAAGTTGTAAAGTTAAGGAAATATTCCATGAATTAATATGACTATAACCAGATGCTACAAAATTTCCATTTCCTATTTTAGGGGAGAAGTATCTCTTGCTCTAGTTTCTGAATTTGTAGATCAAGAGAACTTTTAAGTGTATCTCTGGGAGAGAATGAAGTTGTACTGCTGGCCTTTCAATCAACATTTTAAATTTTAGTTTCTTCAGGAGCAGAACTGTAAAAACCAAATTCTGAAACCATGACTAACTCTGTATGCATAAATTAGAACGATACAATAAAGACATATGTCTTATGAATGTTCCAAGTGTGTATTGAATTCTTAAGGACACAAAATGTACATATATGTGGAACCTCTTAGATATATTACACATTTATAGTCTATATATTTATACATACTACTTTATACATATAAATAAAATATACATGCAAAAATGCATGTGTATATATTCTGTGGGCTATTATAAAAGTGTGGGGCCAAAGAATTGAACTGACTATGCAAACAAACAAAATCCTTTAATTTTCCTATCAAGCTAAAAATATGTCAACTAACTCACTTGTTTTCTCTCACTAGAAATGACTACCCCAAACAAGACCCCACCTGGTGCTGATCCAAAGCAGTTAGAGAGGACTGGCACTGTTAGAGAAATAGGCTCACAAGCAGTTTGGTCTCTCTCATCCTGTAAGCCAGGTAAATCACAACAATAATGTAAAAAGCTCAAGGTGCATTTATGTTTTGGAAGGAAGACATCCACAGCAGTAAAACTGCTGTAGTGTAGGCTTTTGTTACTACAAATAATGTTTGTCTTCTATGTGATACAATATGAAACTTATAACTGTATCAGAAATCCTGCTATGAGGAATTGTCTCATATGAACTAAACAGAACTCTTGCATATTTTACTTTTTGTTGTTGTTGTTTACATAGTGAACAAACGAAACCATGTGAGCAGAATCACAGCACAGTGAAATTGTTTCTATGCTTTGGCATTGTCTAGGTGTCTTCTGTTTTTAACTAAGGATGACCATGCAGCTGGGTGACCTAAATGTTCTGCCTAAACTTTGTAACTTTCTATGGGCTTAGCCATTACAGGGTGGCCCTAAAACTCTGCAAGTAAAATGAACCTGTGGTCCTGAGGTGCAGTTAGTGATACCTGCTCAAAATATCTGAAAATCTGTATTCTTTCCCTTTGAGGTGGTTGAGTTGCTATTTCAGAAATATCTGTTGGGAATTGATCAGCTGTCTTGCTGCAGCCTAGGGTCAGTGATCCCTTTATATCACAATATTGTGTTCAGGCTGAATGACTTTGGTCTGAAATCCTGGAATATTGGAGAAAAATGTCTCATGGTTTTGTTGCATAAACAGGCTGAGGGAAATTTTTTATTGCAGATTAAACTTCAACTGCTATATTAGAACTGCAACTAGTATGAACAATCAATAAAAGGATGTGATTAGTAAAAGGACAAATGAGGGAATAGAAAATACAAAGCTGGAGTTGCTTCTTCCAATGTGATGACATTAACCTTTAGGGATACTGTTTTTGCCATCTATTGTGTAGTACTTGGAAAAGCAAAAATATATCAGGACATGACTTGAAAAGAAAATGTTACATTTGGCTAAAATTTTATAATGAATGGTCTCTGCTAATGATTTTTCTTTAGTTCAGCAGTTAAGTTACAGAAAAGGTGGAAAAGTCTAACTGTTAATTATTTCTCTGGCAACCAATATAAGTTACTACTTAACCACTTGAAATTCCAGGACATGTTGACATGGATTTGTGCCCCACAGACCTCAGGAGTATTGAACTTCTGCAGATTCCCTTATTTCATTTTCATGTCAGAAAAGCATAGGTGCACCTTGGATATCTAGAAATATTTCCTAATATGTTATAACTTGGGAGACATTCATTTGTAACAGTTGAAGAAGAGCTACATTTGCATCACAGAAATGGGATGTTTAAGATTATCACACTTTCTTTTTCTTAGGGTTTGGAGTGGATCAGTTACGAGATGATAATCTAGAAACTTACTGGCAGTCAGATGGATCACAGCCTCATTTGGTGAACATCCAATTTAGGTATTAAAATATACTCCCTGTGGGTTGGGGTGCTTTGTGTAACTTCATATTGATTACCATTCAACAAGATAGGAATTCTGGAAGTGCAAGAGCTCCTGGGTTAGTTCTGTTACCCAACTGGTAAGAAGTCAACATTTCTAAAAATGAGATTTTCAAATGTTATGATCACTAAATGCTAAATAAGCAACGAAGAGGAATGTTTAATGGTGTCAGTTGTGACAGCATCACATTTACTCATATAAGGTGACTTATGTCCTGATTTTGTGTTTTTGAGTGTCATTTGGAGGGTAGAGGACTCCTATCTAACCTAACAGATGAGTTTGAGAAACCTCTTTTTATACAATCCTGTGTAGGATGCTTTCAGTATTTTTTTTTTTAATCAAACTTGAGATGTTTGTCCCCCTTTTTTATTTATGTTCTTGAGAAGGCCTTGGTCTAATAAGAGAGCCCATATTTGAATAGCCTAACTTAATCTTAATTATGTACAAGTGCTTGTTTGGCATCTGTTTCTTGATATACTGACATTTCTGAGGGCAGGCAAAGGGAAAGGTGAAAATCAACTGTGTGCATAATGTAATGTGGGAAATCACCTAGTTCTTCAACAACAAGTTTCTTATGAATTACTAGGCACACTTAGATTCATTTTCAGAACATTTAAATCCTTAGTTATTGCAAGCTAGCAACAAACTCATCCTGAATATTTTTCTTTATGATGCTTACATAGCTTGTGTTGCTTCTTGCAGAAGAAAAACAACAGTGAAGACCTTATGTATTTATGCAGACTACAAATCTGATGAAAGTTACACTCCAAGCAAAATCTCTGTCAGAGTAGGAAATAATTTTCATAATCTCCAGGAAATCCGGGTAGGTCAATGATGTTTTGCATTCGGTCTTAAAACAGTTCTTTCTTGTTAGGACATCAGATGTAATAAAGTGGTTTTTGGAGGTAAAATATGGTATTGTGCTTGAAGGGGAGAAATGGCTGGGTTTTTTTTGATGTTTGCTTTTAGTTTTTATCTTGTAAGTTTAGTAGACTGGTTTCTGTTTTTTTTTTTAATCAGACTCTTTTACCAAATATCATTATAATTGAATATGTTAATAAATTAAGTTTTACTTTTGAGTATTGTTTCTAATCTTTTTCTTTTTAATACTGGACAATCACGGAGATGTAAAGATTTTGGATGGGATGCAGTTTTTTAACAATATGAAGGAAAATCCAATTTTCAGTTCTTCAGATCAGCTTCAGATTTGAATGAGACAGAGTTGTAGTGTTTTGTTAGTGTTTTTATTTATAAAATGATCAAATCCAGTATTTTTATGGTGATGCTTCTAATCAGAATTGTGATAAAGGTTTAAGTTGCTTTAAGTGCTTGGTTTTGCTTACCTTTTGGTAAACAGTAAAAACAGATTTGAAATAATCCATGATCTTGGTGGACGTCCACCTTGGGAACTAATTGGGTTGCTCATAAGCAGGTACCTTTGCTCATTCTGGGTCGGGGTAGCCTCATGTTTCAAATTCCTCTTCTCTGGAGCTCAGCATTTACTGACTGGTATTTTGAGAAGGTTTAACTTACCAGCCTTATATGGCAGGTATTGCAATAACAGAAGGATTGGGACAATGAGAAAAGGGTGGTGCTAAATAGTGCCTTGAATTTTTACTTCTGGGATTTTTATTTTTTTCACTTTGGTTTTCAGTCCCAGTGATTCAAAGTCCCAAGAGCAAGTTGTAAGTGCTAGGTTGTGGATTCTGTGGGAGTAAAAAAAAAGTGTATCAGAGATGTCTGTTAGCATTATGTATCTGTCTACATCCTTTCACTGATTTGTGATGTTCTCTCAAGTTTTGACCTATAATTTTATCCTAAATCTTGAATGAAAGGCTCTTGACAGGTTTTATTTTTCTTTAATTAATTAAATATTCTTTTGGAAGAAATGAATCACCACGTTATTTTAACTTTCATCAGCTGCAGATTCTGCCTTTCCATCTTCCTAATTCTGTCGTAGCAATTTGGGAGCTGCACAGTATCTGAAGAACGGCAGCTGGATCCTTTCCCCTGTTAGGCTCCGGGTCAGTTTCCCGAGTATCCACTAGATGTCATTGTTGTCCTTAATTATCACTTTGATTTTTTGCACTTTTATCTGCCCTTCAATAACTAAATCATTATTACCCTTTTTGTAGTCATGCTTAGTGCAGCACTATACATCTTGCTGCCTAACTTAAGTTTCTCATACAGTGGTAAACTCCTGCTCTTGAGGATATTTGTGTTATTAACATATTAAAGATCTAGAAAGCAATAAAATGTATAACAAGTGTATTAGTTTTCTCCGGTGTCTCAGGCAGTATTTTTTTAGCTCTTTTATTGCCAAACACGGGATTCTATGCATAATGTATGTAGTTAAAAATGATACTTCTGTATGAAACAAGTTACTAGCTTTTTTTATGGTATATGAATGTGACTATAATATGATGCATGACAGAGTAATTCTTATGCATACCACATGCTCATGTGCTTTTTTTACTTCCAAACTGAGGAGAAAATATGGTCACGCTTCTTATTAATGAGATACAGTACTGTGATGCTGTAAAGTGCTTGTGACTGTCATCACTGTGATGTTACCTGTTGCTATCAATTTTCGTATTTCTTAGAATGCTTGATACCATTTCTTAAATTTTCCTTCAGTCCTGAAACTTTCTTCAGCTTCTCTGACACATGGGAAGGTTATTAAAACAGTGTGAACTGTTATGAGCTCTTTACAGAAATCTGCTTAATTATACAATGATTCCATTGGCTTCAGTACTGATTAACTGGGTGGAAAATCAGGCTAAAGCATTTTATATTTTTCCATGGAAGCTTGCCCAACTCATAGTGTCTAATGAATGTGTTTCCTTTCCTAATGGTCTAATTTTCAACACAATGCAATATGCTGTTAGGCTAAACTTTGTCACAAATATAAGATCAGCTTTAGTTTGTATTCCAGTATGTAGGCATATCTTTTTTGGAACCTAAGATGAATTTATTTTCTGAATAAAAGTTTTCTTCCCCCAGCTTTGTACCCCATCATAACAGTGAAAACAGCTTTTGCAATCTGGCAGGATTATTCCCTTGGCCACTGCAGTTAAGGTGTGTGCACTCAGCCTTCTCCTATGACTTAAGAGCTTTTGTATCGCAGCTGTCAATCTTGGAGAGCAAATATTTTCTCCTTTCCAGTGAAGTCTCCCCACATGATGGAAAGTATCTTGTCTGGATAGACAAGATACTCTGTAGAGGCATTTTTGGAACAGCATCCAGACTCCTCAGGATATGATTTAAATAGTACACTTCTTCATGATATGAAAATAACCCACTGCAAAGGATGTGAGTGAAATGCTGTCTATGAGAGATCTGTGATTTCTTCAAGTGATGCTTACCTGTTTATTGCATTTGTACCTCTCCGAGACATTTAGATGTTCAGCAGTTCATCATGTTGTAAGAAGACTGTTTTGATGTTAAGTGCACATAGTATTTCAGGGTATATTCTCTATCCATATATAATATATATATACACACACACCTTGTAGTTACAGTGGTTTCTGCTGTCAGCCTATAATGTGGGGTCTTTACACAGACTCAGGTGAAAGCCCTCTAATCTTAATACAGCTTTGATGGCAACAATATGAGGTCTTTGTTTTAGATTTTTCTTGGAGTTTTTTGCTTTTCCTTTGGACTGCTGTCTGGTTTGTTTTCAGTTTGTTTTCTACCCCTTTTTGGCCTTGCCTGGTGTTTCATAACCAGGTACAAGCACAGCAGCCTCCCTTGTGGCCTGGGGTTGTGGCTGAGCACCACGGACAGGGCTTCTTCTTCACTGTTTGAAGAGATTCTACACTAGAGAGGGGAATTACCAACTGAAGGAATGCCTAAGCTGGGAAGTTTTTCAGAGGCAGTTACCTACTGTAATGCCTTTACTCCTGTGATGTCCAGTGACTGTCGTGAAGAGGTTGGACTTAGCCAGACATTTTCTGAAATCCAGTGGTAAGCAATCTTCACCTGTTTTCTGTACATGGAGCAAACTTAGATCCTGAGGAGTGAGGACCTGGTAGCTTGTCACAGGGCTGTTGCAAGGTAATCAGTCAAGAAGATGTATTCCTGTGATTCTCTAATCAAACATCTCAAAGGTACATTTTAAACTGCTTTCCACTGAAGGTGGAGCACTGAGTTGTTACTTCTTTGGATTTCTGACTAGGCTTCAGGTACTTTGGCTAGAAACCATTCCTCTGTGTTCTTTCTTCCATTTAAGAAAAGAGGCATTTCTGACCACTAATTATTCTTTGGGTTCAGAATGTCAACTAAAAATAGTCTGCTTTCTGCAAGCTACTCTTAATGCTAAGAGAAGACTGAGTAAACTTCAGTTTTATGGAATTTCAATCTATAGTCTTTCCTGTCTGTCTCTAGGATGCTCCATAGACATAATCATCACACCAGTTGTTCATTTTGATTGTTGTCTTGCTGTTAATGCTGGCTGAGTATGGATTTGTTTCATCAGGATGCACACAGGACCTGTTCCTTACGGCTAAAGTTTACTGGTGCTGGAAATCTGCAAAGCAGGGGAGTAGAATGCTCCACTCGTATTGGTTAGTTATTAAGTCTTGTGATTGATGTCCAAGGGTAGGAATCAAATTTCAGAAACAGGGTTATTTCCATTCGTACTCTGTACAAATTTCCACCTTCCAGCAGAGGATATTTTGTGAATCCCCAACTGGGATGTTCACATGAACTCATCTTTACAAAAAGAAGGCAAATTAAATGATGTAACATCACTGTTCCCTGCCAATATCATCATCACAGTAGGTGATATGACCTTTTCATCATTCATGTGCTTATGGAAATAACTAATATATGCTTCAAACTGTGGAAATTATGAATAGAATTACAGTTTTCCTGCCCTTTGATACTGTAGAATGGTAAGACATCAGAGCAGAACTTACTGTGCAGTCATGAAAAATGCAGTTATTGAAATAGCCTTTTATATATATATGAGGTGTATGTATACAAATAGGCAGGTCCACATTAGAGCTAGTAGAACAGTGGAAGATTGTTTTGGCCCACACACTATAAAATTGTTAAGCAATCTTATCTTGCTATAAAATAGTATTTTAAGAGAAATAAGCATCTCTTCTGTAGAGGAAAACTAAACATAGTTTTTATACTGTAGTACATGTTGCCTGTAAAAGATATTTATTCTTTTGTATCTGAGCATTCAGAAACAAATCTATGAAGGAACCTTTTCTTGCCGCAGAAGGGCTTAATTAGGTAAGGGTACCTTAAAGAGGCCCTCTATTTTTAATTCCGTCAGTCTGGCTTTACTTTCTGAAGCAGAGGAAAAGCCATGTGAAACAATGTGGCAACAGCTCTGTGGAAGGCAGGAAGTTGATGAAGTACAGAGCTTTCCTCGAGGGAACTCAAGTACAAAGAGCCTAGGAACTCATCGAAGCACTGAGTGTTACATATGTGTGAAAGCCTCTCCTGCACTTACAACCTTTTTCATGATTATTCATTTAAGTTCCACTATGGAAAAGAAATTGGAAAATCACTACCCTCACATTAAAGAATTTTTTGCTAATATCTAATCTAAACCTTAGTTTAAGGCTATTCTCCCTTGTCCTATCATTACATCCGCTTTTAAGATGTCTCTGTTCCTCTTTTTTGTAGGCTCCCTTTGGTACTGGAAGGGCACAATTAGGTCACACGGCCACCTTCTCTTCCTGTAGCAAGTGTTTGATTACCTTGTTTCATCTTTTTTATGTGCATGAAGTTCTAGTAGGAGGATTTGGAAAGATTTCCCCCAAATCTTTGTTTGTTAAATATTTTACTTCTGTAAAAATCTTTCTG